TGAAATGATTTGCCAAATCTAGAAATAATTTCATTGAGATTATTTATTCATTTACACCAAAGTTTGCAGAAATAAATATCGGTAGTTTAATGGAACGATTACAATGGTGTTAATAATTGAATAAATATTGGTAATTTCACATAGGATGATAAGCGTGGCATTACTCTCGGCACATTAACAAACAATGGAATGGGGAGAAAAAAAATTATTCCTATTTTCTCCATGAATTTCATCTGCTCATAACAAATCTCGAAACACTTCAGTTCCATTTGTTTCTCCACAAAATTGTTTTTTCTTTTTGTTATGCACGAATGAATGAAAGAAACACACAAAAAAACATCCTGTGCTCTACGTAACCAACCTTAATAGGACATGGGAAAAGGTAATACTCTGTTTGCATACGAACATATTCATATCATCTCAAGGATGAAGAGTCTTCCATTGACATATAATGACATGCCATCTACTTCGAAGGCATTCTAGTCTATTTTCATTCCCACCAGCATCACAAGCCAGAGATGTTGGACCATTGCATTCACTTAGTCGACTAATTTCCCCAAGATTCCTTGAAATAAGACAGAAAACACAACCCCATGCCAACCTGAAATTACTAATGTGAAGTAGGTACTCTCTACTGAATATGATACTTTACCTGCTATATTTACATTTACTAGGAAACGCGGATGATCTCCTGAATCTGATCTCTGTCGGGCTGCCATCATGCAAATATTCTTCATACTTCTACATAAGGCATGTGTGTTTTCCATCATTATGGTATTCTTCGTGTAAATGACAAGAAAAGAACATGACTAGTCCTCACCAAAAAAAAAAAAGAACATGACTAGTATCTTCCAAGTCAATTTGCACTCCTAATATTGCCAATGAACAATTCCTATGTCTACATTACGGTTGTAGTTGGAAGTCCTTGCTTCTGATGCAGTATAAATTAAGCTCTCCACAAAAGTAAAAATCATATGCATAGCTCCTCCCACTTCATTTCAGTGCCATAAACAGCTGGGTGATACCCAAGTCCTGAAGAATTTTTGTTCTTGCCATCGGCCAAGCCAAAAATGGCACCACAACTGCTTATTGCAGAAGTGAATCTCCAATTCTGTTCCGCAGCAGCTGTAACAGAACATTCTGATTTGAGCCGTCATTCAAAAAACGATGGCATTAACAGATTTAGATCAGCTCTCAAATATTGTAGGACTTAAGCAAATCACCTTTCTAGCCACCCATTGATTACTTGTCATGTTTATCCAAAAAAACATGAAAACCACACCGTTGATTTAAGGACATCCTCCATACTTCTGGTTTGGATCTCACATCGTTATCCACAATACAGTGAAAATCCTCTGTTTGTTTAAAGCCTCTGGGGCGTAGACATTGTCATCATCAAACAATGACTGAACCGAAGTAAGTAATTGCGAATGATGTAGGGGTAAGAATTTGCAAGATGATTAATAAAGGCATGAAGTAATACAAGGAAAGAGTGACTACATGATTTTGTACCAGGTTTCCACTGTTGATGATAATACTTTCAGCCTTATCAAGGCCATATATCTGCCTTCAGAGAGAGCAATCTTCACATTGGCATATTAAGTGACAAGCAAAGTTTGATACTAATCCATGGAGATTCATCATCTTGACATTAGTGCCCTAGCTTTGAGAAAATGCTGAACACGTTTATGGTACCTTCACTGCCTACTTCCATGACCAAATAACGAATTAATAAAATGCAATCAAGATCACATACGCATGAGCAGTTTCCAGAATCCATCAGATAGTGAATTTCTCTACTTCATAGAAGATAAAGAGAAGTATTACTTTATTCACACAAGAGCAGAATGCTACCACGTCGAGAATGAAGAATCTCGTACTGTGATGGACAGCTCGCATTCATAAAGCACGACACAATGCAATCGGTTTAAAGAACGTCCCTGTCGCATCCATATCCATGATATTTGGTTGGAATATCCCACAACTGCCTAAATTCCAGTGAAGCTCCTGGTCATTTGAAGCATCAGAGGCATGAGAAATTGTCATCACCAAATGAAGAATGAACAGATGGATGCAAATTCGATACGTGAAGACACTAATTGATGGTACAAACATGTGAAATGGATATAGGTATGACGAAAAACAAGAAAGAGCACAACATGATTCCTACCAGATTTTCCACCGTAGAGGATGTTACTTATGACAGGATCAAGGCCATGAATCCATCATCAGATTGTGCAATCTATGTATTAACAAATGACAAACAAAGTTGCATATAGATCCATGGAAATTCATCATCTCAACATCGGTGTCCTGGATTTGAGAAAAGTAAAAATGTTATGATGGTGCCTCCAGTGGCTTATTAATCCATGACAGAATAAGTGGACAAAAGCTACTAAAAATGCAATCAAAACCACTTAGACATGAGTAGTTGCCATGATCAATCAATTATTAGAAGTGTTATTCCGCATTGGTTAAATAAAGGGTTTCAACAGGGGTTATATACATTGAGTCTACCTCAGACTAATACTTTAAGCTTTTGGGGGGAACTTTTGATAACAAGTAATGAAGTTCTTTTTTATTATGTATGAATGAATGAAAAAAAAAAACACATAATAAACATCCTCTGTTCTAGGAAACAAACCTTAATAGAACTTGGAAAAAGGTAATACTCTTTGTTTGCGTAAGAACATATTCATGTCATGTCAAGAATGAAGAGTCTTTCTTTGTGACTGATGACGTATGATGACATGCAATGTACTTCGAAGGCATTCTTATCTATTTTCATTCCCACCAGGATCACAAGCCAGATGATGCTGAAGCATTGCATTCACTTAGTCGACCAATTTCCCCAAGATTACTTGAAATAAGACAAAAAAATAAGACATCGACACAACCCCATGCCAAACTGAAATTACTAATGTGAAGTAGGCACTCTTAACTGAATATGATACTTTACCTACTATATTTACAATTACTAGGAAACACGGATGACCTCCAGAACCCGATCTCTGTCGTGCTGCTGTCATGCAAATATTCTTCATAATTCTACATGGGGCATATGTGTTTGCCATCATTCGGGTATTCTCTTTGCGTGAATGATAATGAAAGAGCATGATTTCTCTCATCAGGATTTAGAGACATGCATCAAACTGTTGTGAAAATGATAATAAAAGAACATGACTAGTATCTTCCAAGTCAATTTGCACTCCTAATATTGCCAATGAGGTATTCCAATGTCAAGATTACAGTCATAGTTGAAAGTCCTTGCTTCTGATGTAGTACCGATTAAGCTCTCCACAGAATTAAAAATCATATGCACAGCTCCTCCCACTTCATTTCGGTGCCATTAACAGCTGGGTAATATCCGAGCTCCGAAGATTTTTAGTCCCTGCCATTAGGCTAGCAAAAAATGGTCCACATTTCTGGTTGAAACCACAGTTATTGCAGGAGTGGCTTTCCAATTCTGTTCAGTGGCAGCTGTAACAAAACATTCTGATTTGAGTTCGAGTTCAAGAAAAGATGGCAATAAGAGATCAAGATCAGCTCTCAAATATTAAAGGACTTAAGCAAATCACCTTTCTAGCCACCCATCGATTACTTGTCATGTTTATCCCAAAAACATGAAAGCAATACGGTTGATTTAAGACTTCTTCCATACTTATGGTTTGGATCTCACACTATTATCCACAATATAGTGGAAATCCTTTGTTCTTTTTAAGCATCTGGGGTGTAGACATTGTCATCACCAAACAATGACCAAACTGAAGTAAGAAATTGTGCATGATGTTAAGGTATGAATTTGCAAGATGATAATTAAAGGCGTGAAGAAAAACAAGGAAAGAGTGGCTTCATGATTGGTACCGGGTTTCGACTGTTGATGATAATAATTTCAGCCTGATCAAGGCCATGTATTTGCCTTCAGAGACAGCAATCTTCACATTGGCATATTAAGCTACAAACGAAGTTTGATACAGATCCATGGAGATTCATCATCTTGACATTAGTACCCTGGCTTTGTGAAAATGCAGAACACGTTTTTTGGTACCTTCACCGCCTACTGCCATGACCAAATAACGAGTTAATAAAATGCAATCAAGATCACATATGCATGAGCAGTTTCCAGAATCCAATGGATAGTGAATTTCTCTACTTCATAGAAGTTGGAGAGAAGTATTACTTTATCTAAACAAGGGCAGATTGATACCATGTCAAGAATGAAGAATCTCGTACTATTTGACTGACATCAAATATCATTTTGGAGGCAATATAATCTTTTTTATTCATATCATGATCACGAGCCAAATAAAACTCAAGCATTACAATTACTTTGCTCAAACAACCTCCTCCAATTGCTGGAATTAAGACAGGAAAATTATAACGTGTCAAAGAAAAGCTCTGTCCAAACAGAAAATACTATGAGAGCAGGTAATCTCCACAGAAAACGGCACTATACCTGCTATATTTTTTGTTTAGTAGGAAACATTAGCGATCTCCAGAATCAGATCTTTTTCTTTCTCTCCTCTCCATTTTCTTTCTACATGAGCTCACAGTTTAAGATGGAGCCAAGCGTCTCTTTTTTCTCCCCTTAAGCCCACGTCTACTTCCCTTGTTTAGTTGACTTTTCAACCTTCTCTTTGTTTTTTTTTTACGGGCCCCAGAAATTTTTTTTTTTACTTGGTCAAATCCCAAGTATTACAGTAACTTCATAACAATAAGTCAATTACAACATACTGCACCAAACTACTATGGATAAAAATTGACACCAATATCAGTAACTCATCTACCAACCGGCGTGCTTCAACTTTTAAACTTGCGGATGAACACCTGAAACAACCTTTTATGTAGTAATGTAAAGATAGAGTACACTCGTTCAACAAAAGGGGATTTGAACAATGACACATAATTATGCGCAACAATCAAATTGGACAAAACAAATGTCGCTTATTTTATGGTGGCAACATCTAAAGCCTCCACAAAGATTGATCTTTCTTCCTTACCATTCCACAATCAAGCTTCCCAAACAGCACAGATGGACTTTTTGCAGGCGAATCGGGGACAGACTCCATGACGGAACAATGCAGCACCAGCGATCGAGGGCACGGCTTAATCGTGGACCAACCTTCTTGCCCGACATGAGAAAAGAAAAGCGTTGAAAAGCCTAAGGAACAGACAATAAGTTGACCAAAGCAGTCTCCACCCCTGCATCAAACATAACCCATTCCAGCTAGAGATGCAATCCGCAAATTCATAGTTGAAGCGGCCAACGACCAGATATTTCTCAAGCACGACTCAACGTCATTCTTCAACACCTTTTTGTGAACTGAAATCTTCAAGTAACTTAAAAGAAAAGCCACTTACTGTCAGATTCAGTCAACTCTGTACTCGAATTTCGCATCGGTGCGGGCAACAGTCGACTAGCATAATGTACCCTTCAAAAAGCAAGACCATCACATTATAGAGGATCCATACAGAGGATGAGAGAATGAAAACCAACCATGGAAATAGAAACAAATTTAATGGTGTTTCTATTTCAACATTAGAAATCAAAAGGTACTTCCTGACCTTGTCAGCAAGACAAGAATTATTTTGCTATGATTGGCCATAAAATGCAAAGTTTTATGTTTTCTGAAGGTTTGAAGCACTGAGTATTGAACAAAAGACGCGTTGCAAATGCTAAAAACAATAGTATAGATGAAAGTTAGAAGCAAAAGTTCTTCCAAACACCCCACAATGTCAGAGCCCGATAACTCCTGGTGAAAGAAGAAACCGATGGGCTTCTAATATCGCAGCTCAAGCTTTTGCATTTTCCCAGAGTCAGAAGGAGATAAGGAGCAATCCCTTTCAACTAGAAAGCTAGCAAAGAAAAAGTACAGAAAAAATGAACAAGCCATATTACCATCACAACAATTTGGACAATAGCGTCCTTTTCCATGCTAAATTAGTAGCCTTCGACACCATTTCACTACGTTATTAGCTAAATGGGATGAGCGAGGACATCCTTGGAGAATCTTACGAGAAGGAATTTCCACATACTCATGGAGAAAATGCTAGTTTGGATCATAGGTACAAACAAATGGTTCACAGGAGATTGTTCTTCCAAACACACCTCACGGTGCTTCAAGATCCGAGAACAAGAAAGAAATGGCTATGAAAGTAGAACCTCATCAATCAAGGTAATCTTCCCGTTCAACCTGAGGTTAGTTCACATTAGTTCCGACAACTCTGCAGTCAATTTCCATGTTACCCAGATAGGGTGATAAAATCAACCTAAACCTATAATAGGCTCATAAGACCTAATGATCCTGCTATACATGCTCTACGACTGCTCAAATAACGTAAGGAAAATTCACCACCATTGACACGAAACCTAATCAAAAGCTGCTGTAGTTATCTCATTACGCCATAGCAAACTGGTAGAAGAGAATAACCGAGCAGACCTCTTCACCTAACAGGAATCACAAGCTGATAAATATAACAGGACAACTAAACATGCTTCGCTGAACAATGCAGAAAAGCTCGAATTAGTTTCGTTTCATTTCCTCCGTGTGCAGACATCGAACACCCAAAATCAGACCAACAACGGCGACTCAAAACCTCGAATCACCAGGATGCGCATGCACCAATCACACCAAGAATCAACCAATGAATAAACCGATCAATCAGCGACAAGAATGTATTAATGTTAAAAGGGGTCCAATCACCTGGAACCACTGCCTTCACCAGATTCCTCGCCTCCAACTTTCAAGCTGGATATCCACCCTCCTCCTCTTCTTACCCCAGTGCCCAGAATCGCACCACGTCCTCCGCAACCTCATTTGCTTCCTCATGAAGATCCGACTATAGCCCCTGCAAACCTCAGTCAGTTTCTTGCTATTTCTTCCCTCATAAACCTATGGCTCGTCCTCGTCGGGTGGTAAAAAGTCCGGTAATTTCTTGAGTGACTCGCACCCATACCTTTCAAAGTGCTCTAGAAATTTACTAGGGCAGCGAATTTCAACTCCTTCAGATGCTCCGACTTTGAAAGGTCCAGTGATCGGATGTGCTTGCGTCCAGAGATATCCAACCATTCCAGGGATCCCAATTCTTCCATTGGAGTTTATGAGCCAGAGTATTTGTCGAAGTTATTGCACGCAAAGATCACACAGCGTCGGTCCCCAGCCACCGGCGAGCTCGAAAACCACCGCCGGCGGTCGCTCGTTTCGGACACCAGCTAAAACACCGAGACCCGAGAAGACGACGAAACCGCGAGTTCCGTTCCGCTACGAGTACAAGCCAAACGGGAACCGAGTCGGTCCGCGGCGAAGCCGCCGCTTGAGGCGGAGGAAGAGACCTGGCGTATCGAAGCGGCGAAGGAGAGGCGGTCCGGCGAAGACAAGTCTATGATCGGGAGTTCGAGAGCCGTCGCCATATGAGCTTTTTTGTCCTTGGACGCCGACGGTGGGTTTTGGGACGAGGGAAGGGGAAGAAAATGTGCAGAGGAGAGTATCCTCTGGGGGAGGAGATTGTGTTGTGGGGGTAGCAAATGCACCTGTGTGGGGGCAATAACATCAACATTTGCTTTTATAACAAAAAAGTGCTATGTCTAGATTTTCTCTTTCTAATGGACAGGTTGGAGACAATAACATCGACAAATACTCTGGCTCATCAAATGTGCTAAGTGACGGCGATGAAGTCATATCATGTGATTGTTCAATTTGATTTTTTATCCATAGAGCAGATCATGTCATCCACGTAGATATATCGGAGTTATAACATTGAGACCTAGCGGGACGTTGTGCAGATGACTATTTGAGCCAGGAGTGCACCCAAAACTTACTAAACTGCATGACCAACTTCAAGAACTTGGGTGGCCGAACGTTTAAAGGAAGCAAATGCCAAGTCGAGGATGTCGTCGACATCCTCTCTGTTGTCATGGAAGCTGCTTTGCTTGCTGGGAGATACCTCCACAAGCCCTGAATTTCTGTCCATGTTCTGCGGATTTATTAACTCGGATCCCTTCATTCACTTTGGGATCATCCCTTTCTTCTTTGATTTTTTTCTGCTAACTGTTTGTCCGTGTCTGCTCTTATTCTATTGCAACAAATGGAAAAAAGGGAAAAAGAAAACTGTAAAGTGCCTCTGTTTTTCCTTTCCCGTAGAATTGGAAGAGTAATGGACACTGACTATGGAGTGTTGACACCGATTTTAATTGGTCCAAAAATTAATTACACAAAATTTAGGAGTTAATTTTCTTTAATTCCTAAAACAAAAAATATTTCTATTTAAATACATTGCATATAGAATTTAGGCACATTTGTATTAATAGGGCCTATTAGAGTTTTAAAAAAAATCAAAAAAATAAAAAAAATAATAAAAATCGAGTTGGGCCGGGTCGGAGCCGGGCCAACCCGGCCCTTTTTCTTTTTTCTTTCTTTTTCCTGCATGGGCCCCGGCCCACTCTCCTTTCTTTTTCTTTTCTTTTCCCCCCCGCAGGCCCAGCCCACTTTTCTTTTTTCCTTCTTCTTCCCCCTGCGCGGCTGGGCCTGGCCCGGCTCAGCCTTTCTCCTTCCTTCTCCCCCGCGCCGGTCGCTTTCTTTTCCCCTGTTCTCCCTCATTCGCGACAGCAATGACGTGGCCGCACGGCGGCGCCTCCTCCTCGTCGCTATCCGGCCGGACGAGGGCCGGATGAGCACGCCGACGGGACTGGCATTAATGGCCAGTCTCGTCTTCCCCATTTCTCGGCTCCCTTATCTCCTCCTCCCTCTCGGCTCCCTGTTTCTCTGCTCTGCATCAACGAACCAGGCCCCCCCTGCATCGGCCTGCAAATGGCCGCGAAAGTCGCGGGGCAGGTAGGCCGGTGCAGGCCGTCGTCACGCGGACGTAATGGAGCAGAGGGACTCCGACGTTCGCCTATAAAAGCCGGTGAGAGGCAGAGAGAGGGGGTCGGCGATTTTGAGAGAAAAAACAGAGACAGAGAGAAGAGAGAAAACAGAGAGAGAATCAGAGAGAAAAGAGAGAGAAAAAGAGTAGACTTGAGCTTCTGCAGGTTCTCACAGCCGCGCCGTCGACCGCAAACCAGCCGGAAAACCTCCAGTCGCGTCGCCGAACGGTGAGCCTCCCCCGGTGCTCTGTTTTGCCCTATTTTTGTGCTCGATTTGGCCGGGACCTGCGCCTGCCGTTTCGCGCGAGTCTCAGCCCATACCGTCGTCCCCCGCCGTTCGTGTGTCGTTGCCAAAGGTAGGTACAGGTTTCCCGAGAACGGCAGGGCCTCGAAACCGGTCGAAATCCCTTTGTTTTTGCTCTGCTTCCCATCTGTTTGATAAAATGCCTCAAAGAGGTCCTTTTTAATTGCGTCACCGGCCGACGAGCGGCAGTTGGACGGTGACCCAGGTGGACGGCGATGTTTGGCGGTGTTCCCAGAAGCCGATTTGGGGGCGGTGCCGGTTTGGGTCGGCCGACGGAAGGCCAATTTTGGCCCCGCCGGCGTCCTTGTGTGTTTGTGCACGCGGGCTGACCCGACCCGGATCAACCGACCCGACCTGGGTCAACGCCCTGGGTCAGATCTGTTGACCCGGGTCAGTTCCGACCCGGATCAACTGACCCGACCCTGGTCAACGCCCTGGGTTGGATCCGTTGACCAGGGTCGGTTCCGACCGACCCGGATCAACTGATCCGACCCGGGTCAATGCCCTGGATCGGATCCGTTGACCCAGGTCGGATTCGCCTGACCCGGATCCGACCGACCCGGTTTTTATTTTTATTTAAAAAATTTTTTAAAAAAATTAAAAAATAAAATAATTTTTTTTATTTTTTTCTTTTCTTTTTCTTCAGTATTTATTTTTTTTATTTTATTTTATTTTTTAAGAAATTTTTTTTTGTATTTTCTTTTCCTTTTCGTAGTTATTTATTATTTTTTTTTTCTTCTTTTTAATTTTTTTTTAAAATTTATTATTATTATTATTTTTATTATGTGACATATTTGTTGTTTCAATTTATTGTGGTATTATTATGCAAGTTTTTTTCTTGTTTAAATTAGACAAACCTGGGATTGCGCGGTAGTATTTTGCATGTTATTTTTATTACCGTTGTATTATTATGCATGTTTTTAATACAATTGCATGAGTTATTGTGTTTTGAATGTTGTCTGACTTAGTTAAGGTTAGAACCTTAAGCTGCATGAATTGTTGTGTTCCTGACTGTTGATCGTTTCTGATTATGCACTCGCTTGATCACCTCACATGTTAGGAGAAAGGTCCTAAAATTAATCAAAACTGCTTGACAAATGTTTTCAGAAATGAACAGGGTAAAATGATACCGAAAGGGCATTAGTTATCCAACTAGTGTAACCAAGTCTCCGAACTCAGTTAATCTCTGGTTCGCAGAAATAGAGTGATTCTCCCATAACTTTATTTGGATTTCTAATCGACCCACCCCAAA